GGTTGCCGGTCTTAGCCGGCTATTAATGTGAGGTCGTTCTGAGCATGCGCTCTAAACAGCACCCACAAATATGGCGTCCAGTGAATACCTCCTATAGACGGCTGCAAGCTGGGCGACTGGCCGCCGCCATGTCTCTCCTCGTGCGGGCACGCCCGTGCGATTGCAACCGTGCCAAAGCTACGTTCACGCGCACGCTGCACGTGCTTGCACGCATAAGGCACCAGTCGAAGCACCATGCTTGCAATTGTCTATAGGTCTATTGTGCGGGCTTTCCCGCACAAGCGGAGACATTGCGGCGGTCAGTCGGCACGCCTACAATCGCCTATACATAGCTTGCATGTGACGTAATTCGCGGCCATGGCAGTCGTTTATGCGCCGCGAGGGGTCGCCATGTTAGTTGCACACTTAGGGTGCCTACATGTCTGTCTGTCTCAGGGTGAAGACATCCATTGTTGCCCTGAATGTGCCAGCGCGTGACGTTCTCCCGCACTCGGTGCGTGACTTGGGCGGTAAGATGGCGTCTATGCATTAGCCAAAGCCACGGGCTCGAGCTGAGTGACACCAGATTGCGCGCACTTCAAAATGCATAAAAAAACGATTGGGCGGAAAAATGGCTGAGATGTCACCACTCAAGCAAAAGCGCGCGTGTGTATGAAGGCACTCTATGCACACTTCACAAGTTGTAGTTCGAAGAAACCAGTAAGTAGAAATAACCGTCGGCACCCAGCAATGGCGACACTCGCAGGATATATGTATGCTAAACCTGTCAGCGATATCAAGTTTGTTTTATATTCGAGGATTGCAAAACTCTTAGAAGAAGACAAGTTGTTGCATTCTTTTTTTTTTTTTCCGATATTATGGGCGTTAACTAAAATAAGAAATTTGATTGCAAGGTTGTAAAAATGCCGTTTTATGACTAGACATTCCTCTGAGAACATTCCACCCACTCATTATTTTCAAGAGACTCACTCACAACATTCATTCACTAACGGTTTTGTTAGGAAGGCTATGAGCCAGGCCCTTTCCGAAATTCAGTCTGGCCACTTCGATCACAATCATCATCCGAAAAATGGCATATGTGATATACTAATGACGGGCTTTTTTTTACTGATGAAGGATGACGTTGGATATGCTCATAAGGAGATGATTCGAGGCCTATACATACTAGATGTTAACCCGACGTGAATCCGGGATTGGATGCAAGAACAGCTGCGTAAGCGTTCATTCCTAACTCGGGCCCAGTCAATTTGTTAGTAGCACACACTCGGCTTCAAAAACCCTCGATGCAGAGAACTTTATTAAGGAGTCTATACTCTGTTTCATACTTAGCATGCAACGCTGTCAAAGCTACTGGCGCAAGCGCGTGGCTTCGTCTATCGTTTTGTTTGCGCGAGAACGCGTGTAAAGAATCAACGAGATCAAGCCACGTGCTCGGGCCAATAGGTTTGACAGCGTTGCACGCTAAGTATGAAACATAGTATATGGGGGTAGGCGCTTTGTTCTGACCACCAGTGTAGGATACACTCTTTAGGTGAGGACACGGCGGGGCTGAACGCGCGGCGCGAGGAATCATATAGTGTTCGTTCGACGGACATCCGAAAGGCTGCATGATTCCGCGGCCACCGTGCCCGCGGCTGACAGTGTCCCCGGCGGCCAAACGGCGGAACTGTGTGAGAGCAAAACAAATTATCTCGTTGCCATGACACCCCGGTACACCGTGGTCTTTCTGCACGAGCGACAACCTCGCTGGAGCTCGGCGCGTGTGGAGCATGAGGCGGCACGAGCCGCCTTTGCCGTGCCCTCGGGTCGACGAGTCATCTGCCGACGCCGCTTGAAAGCATAGTGAGAGGGAGAAAGAGAGAGAGTGAAAAGCGAACTTTATCTGCACTGCGCGAGGAGCGCGCTGTCCTCACCTGAAGAGTATTATCTTACACGGTGGTTCTGACTGGTTGCATCTTTTTCGCCATCGACAGTGGTGTTTCACATGCAGCGATTTTGGCCCTAGAGCGGCGCGATTTCTGCCGTCGCGGCGCTCTGGCCAGCACCAGCGGTTGAGCGGCACGAGCGCCGCGACGGCAGAAATCGCGCCGCTCTAGGGCCAAAATCGCTGCATGTGAAACACGCTTAAGAGATTAAAAAATAACTGTACAGGGAAGCGCACATTCTCGATTGCCGTTGACCTGCAAAAGCGACGGTGCCTCATGAAATACTGTAGACCGCAGGTTCATTGCCGCCATTAGTACGGTAAGAGTTAAACTGCCATTTCAGTCACTAGATGGCACTGAATTCCGGAAAGGGTCTATTAGTGCAAGGTAAGCTCTTGGTTAATCCAACGATCCGCTATAACGCAAGTGTAAATCTTTACATATTTATTGGCGCTCCGCATAAAAGCGTCTGATGCATGTGTGGCAAGTCAGAAGAAAAGCAAAATCGATGTGAACATTTTTTAGGCGGCGATATGTTAATTTGCATTACGGGTAGGCCAGCACTGGTTCATGATGCAGATAAAAAAAAACGTTGATAGTACAGAACGGCAGAAAACCTGAGGTCTATTCCATGCACCATGTGGTGGTGATTACACGAACGCAAGCCGGTACGAAAGCGGTATTCACAGAGAGAGAAATCTCGGCGGATTTCTCCCCGGCGCGCACAGCACTCGACAAAAACGTCAGGTTTCAGCGACGCGGCGCTATGGCGCCATCTACGCGGCGGAGGGACGGAAAGAGGAACGCTCGGCCGGCACAAACAATACTGGTTTGCCGGCGCTTATTCGCATCGAAACGAGCGGGCGGGAATCAAATCTAGAGAATCCACGATTCTGCAGCGCGAGCTTTCGCTTCACGTGCTGCTAACCACGGTACGCTTATTTGAGTGGACAACGTCAGTTTGCACCGTATACACCTCTACATGAAGGCGTTTGAGGGCGCGTTCCTTGCTGTGTTCGCGCGTTATGCACGGGAACTTTCTGATAGTGCAAGAGCGCTGGCTGAACTGGGATTTAGCACGTGTGGGGTGTGTTTTTTGTAAGCAGTGGAAACGTCTATACGAAGCAACTTGTGAAATGTGGTTTGTACACGAGAAAATAATGTTTTAAACAGTACGGGCGGTAGCGGCCGCTGATACCGCTGAGTATGCAGAGCCTGCGTCACGTGGGTCAGCTTCGGTCATGCTTTGCGATTGGCCAAGTGTGTTAGTGCACTACGAGCTCAGAGCACGTGGAGCGAAAACTCGCGCTGAGGAGCCCAGCGATCCTGCGCTCAGTCCCCGCCGCCGGCCGTTTCGATCTGAATGAGCATCAAACCGGCGTGGGGTCGTGTATCACTTCTGCGCAATGAGGGTTAAAGACCCCAGGCGAGCAGTCGAACTGCAATGGCTAAATTTCTCGTCTACAGCAGAGACATCAGACAGGCAACCTGCAATGCTGTTTGGTTTGGCGCTATCTAGCGACTGAAGCGGGAAACATTGGGTGTGCCTGGGAGTGCCGGCTGCATTGTTCAAACGTGAGCTATTATTCTGGTGGCGCCGCTTAGCCTAGTGTCTGAAGCAAGAAATACTGGGTAGGCCAGGAATCCGTGATCGCGTAACATGCCAATCGGCGGAAGCTGCGACCCTGTGCGTTGTGCTCGTACACGTAGCGAATATCGAAGCTCTCGGCACACAAGATAGGGCTTATCGTTTACCCTTTGCCAATATTCTATCTCGTTCATCCGTTCTCTCCCCGCCCTAAAACATGGCGGCATCGATATATCAAATGGCGATAACAAGCCTCCATATATCGGGGAAAACAAACTGACAAGTATCGGTATCAGACATAGGCCAGGTTTCTGAGCCGCACGTGATTCTCGACCCACACACTGTTTATAAACGAGCCCGCATTTGCCCACACCGGGTGTGCGCATTGGGCGCGTGCAGAAACCAGATCCGACTCAGGCGAGGCATCTGCGCATGCGCCGTGTCGACAGCAGCGCCATCGCATGCGTGACGTCAGAGACTTGAGCTGGTCTATACTCCATTTCACTGTATAGAGTTCGACCGTTACCGATGCTACGGCGCTCCGATGCAGCCAATCAAGCAGTGGCAGAAGTGCGGCGTCACGGCGTCCCTAGATAAGAGCTTCCTACAAGTAGCGACATTCTCTGAAGCGCCGACTGCATGACGGTGCAGGTTTTAGGGAAGCGAATGGCGGCGTACAGCAGTGGTTTGAACTGAATGCCGCCATTTTGTTCCAGGGGAATGCGCTTGGTCATTTCTATTGGTTGTCGTTATTTGTGAAAGAAGTATCAGGGACGCCAGGCTAAACCAGTCTCGCACAGTGAAAACAAAAAAACCGCGCAAAGACAACGAGCGTCATGACTATACTTCGTTTCAGCTTCGGTCCGAGCGCGGCCGATGTTATGAGCTTAAGAACCAATCAAACACCACAAAAAGTGCAGCGTCATGGCGTGCTCTCTGCGCTTGATAAGACTAGCCGGCGGAGGAGCACGCACAGAGAGACGGCGAATACCGACTGGTCCTATCAACTGCAGAGAGCACGCCATGACGTTGTGCCTCTTTCGCAGTTTGATTGGTCCTTCGGCTCATAACATCGGCCGCTCTCGGACCGAAGCTGAAACGAAGTATAAGCACTTTTGGCGCTATTTGATGGGCTCACTCCGATCGTGGCGTCGGCTGCGGACGTACTTAATGTGAAGCGGAGTTTAGTGGCGAAGAGTGCCCTAATTAGTGTCGACCAACTTTCGGCTAAGAAACAGAGAGAAAATCCCCTCGAAAAGCCCCTATTTACTTTAACGTCATAGCCAAATTCCACTCGCATTGTCTGTTGTCCCTGGCTTACCCACTTACAGCGGGCGTTCGTACGCGTTATCTAAACAGCTCGGCGTATCTCGGCCGGTGAAGATAGGCGACCGCTTGTGTTCGTGCAAAATCAGCTTCTCGATGCATGCGGGGGAAGGGTGTCTCATCATCGGCGAGGGTCTCCGGGCCGTACACTGATCAACCTTATCGGCGAAGTTCGCAGTTCAGTCGACAACAGAAGATGGCTTCAGAAAGTTTCCTATAGCTTCTGGGACGTTTCGCGACACAAAAGAAAGCTCGACATGTCGTCGTTTTGTGCTTCACCGCTCTGGGACTGGGACTACACGTGGTACTCAGATTACCCCCGCTTTACGTCATGCTTCGAGAGCACAGTTCTTGTGTACGTGCCGGCGAGCGTCCTCATCATCTTCGGACTGCTACCATGGATGCTGACACAGGCCAAGAATGACTCTCCTCGTGGCAAGCCCCTGTCTTGGACTCTCCTAAGCCTGCTGCGGTTCCTCCTGAGCTTCGTCCTGCTACTCGCTTACGCCTTTTCGTTCGTCTACAAACTAATCACGGTAATTCCTTCGTGGGCTTCGGTGACGGCAGACCTTGTACGCGTCCTCGTCTTCGCAACGACCATTGTTTTTCAACAGAGAGACAGGAAACGTGGCTCCGGATCTTCCATGATGCTATTCTTCTTCTGGTTCACCAGCGCCTTGTGCCAGCTACCAGAATACTTCCGATACCTCGAAGGAGTGTTCGGGTTTAACGGTGTCTTTGCTGACTTCTCCAAGCTCGAGTACGGCGTCTGCGTGGCAGCCTACCCTGTTATTCTGGTACAAGTGTTCCTGGCCTCCCTGACAGATGTGAGACAAGAGCCGAGACGACCATACCTGACCGCAGGTCCTGTCTCGTCTCTCATGTTTGGATGGATGACGCCTCTCATCTTGCATGGGTACAAGCGCAGCTTGGACTTCGTAGATCTCTTCAAGGTGCGACCAGACATGCGATCTCGGAAGAAGCACGACGAGTGGAAAGCAAGGTGGGACAAAGAGCTCCAGGAGGCCGGCTACATGCCCGGAGACGGTTCTTGCGACGCATCTTTCCCGCAGCCTTCCCTCTTCAGATCGGTGTGGAAGACATTTTGGAAGCCAGTGGTCATTGCCTGCGTTCTGGCCATGCTGCGGACGTTATTCAGAACCGCTCCTGCTCTTTTGCTCCACCTCATAACCGGATACATGGAGAGTGATGATCCCACCTGGAAAGGAATCATGTACTCTGTCGGAATAGTGCTGGCGAACTTCACCACTGCCATGTTTGTTCGCCATATTGATTGTACCCTCTCTCTCACCGGTCTTAATATCAAGGCTGCCATTATTGGAGCGATATACAGAAAAACACTTCGCATTTCGAGTGAGTCGCAACAAAGCTATACCGTCGGAGAGTTGGTTAACTTGGTTTCCGTGGACGCCGATCGCGTGTTCAGATTGTGCAGTGGTTTCGGGTTTGTCGTAGCCGGCCCTCTGTTGATAGCAATCACTTTGGCACTGCTCTGGCAGTACCTCGGAGTGGCTTGTCTAGCCGGTGTTGCTGTCATGATCGTCATCATGCCGATGGTCGCTGTCGTCATGAGCATAGGTCACAAGTACCAGACGGCCCAGATGAAATTGAAGGACAAACGGCTCAAAGGAATGGCCGAGATTCTGAGCAGTATTAAGATTTTGAAGCTATTCGCATGGGAGAATCCGTTTATGGAAAAGATCTCATCAATTCGGTCAGAAGAGATGGAACTGCTAAAAAAGTACTCGTACCTGACAGCATTCAGCTGTTTCTGCATGACATGTTCGTCTGTGTTAGTGGCTCTGACAAGTTTTGTCACTTACGTCCTGATCAGCGACAAGAATATCCTCGACCCTACTACGGCATTTGTTTCATTGACGCTGTTTAATCAGATGCGTTACTCGATGTTCCTCATCCCAGACTTCATTTCGAATGCGATTCAAACGAGCGTCTCTTTTAAAAGGATCCGAAAGTTTCTGCTCTCCTCCGAGATTGACGAGTTTTCCGTAGGTCGAAGACCTGATGATGGTGAAGTGGTGACGATCAAGAATGCAACCATGGCCTGGTCATGGGACAAAGAGCCTGTCCTGAACGGAGTGGACCTTTCTGTCAAAACCGGTCAATTGGTTGCCATCGTTGGTCCTGTTGGCAGTGGAAAGTCATCGCTGATGTCTTCACTCTTAGGAGACTTGAGAGTACGGTCAGGGTCTGTCAACTGCATCAAAAACGTTGCCTACGCTCCTCAGTGTGCCTGGATCCAGAACAAGACCCTCCGCGACAATGTCCTCTTTACCAAGACGTTCGAAGCTAAACTGTACGACAAAGTTCTGAAGGCATGCTGCCTCGAAAAGGACCTTGAGATACTTCCTTGTGGGGACTTAACTGAAATTGGCGAGAAAGGAATCAACTTGAGTGGTGGTCAAAAGCAGCGGGTGAGTCTCGCGAGAGCCGCGTACCAGATGAAAGATCTTTACCTGTTCGACGACCCTCTCAGCGCAGTGGACGCCCACGTTGGTGCCTCCATCTTCAAGGACCTCATCGGACCAAGAGGAATGTTGAAAGGAACTACGAGAATATTGATCACGCATAACCTTTCCGTGCTCTCTGAGGTTGACCACATCTTAGTTATGAACTCGGGATCAGTCGTCGAGGCCGGAACGTACAAAGAACTCCAAAAAGAGGGCAGCGTTTTGTCGGAGTTACTTAAGGACTTCGTTCAGAGAACTCGGAAGCAAACGGAAGGAGAAGAATCCATCCCTGAAGACGAACCAAAAGCAGAAGCCAAACAGGACGAACCAGCACTGCAACTGGTGCAGAAGGAGACGGTAGAGGAAGGTTCAATCAAGTTGCGTGTGTATACCAACTACTTCAGACACGCGGGGCCGTTGCTCATTATGGCAATCTCATTTTACGCTGCCTACCGGGCGATTGACGTTTACAACGGCACGTGGTTGAGCGACTGGAGCACCGATCCATTGTTCCCCGATGGCACGCAAGACATTGCACTGAGGACTTACAGGATAGAGATATATGCGTTGCTCTGTTTTTGTCAGGCAATTGCCGGTTTCATCGGAGTGGCACTGCTGTGGAGGGCAGCTTTGTTAGCATCAACCAGGCTGCACGGGTTGATGCTTTACGGCGTGATGAGGGCACCTCTGGCATTCTTTGACGCCACACCGTCGGGACGCCTACTCAACCGCTTCGGAAAAGATGTAGACCAGCTGGACGTTCAACTGCCCATGGTGGGAAACTTCTTCCTGGACTTCCTGATGCAGATTGCCGGAATGATTGTTCTCATATCCATAAACCTACCAATCTTCATCTTTATAGCCATTCCAGTCGTCATCTCCTTCTTGGTGCTACGCCAGGTTTACGTAAAACCCTTCCGCCAAGTTAAGAGGCTGGAATCTATATCCCGGTCTCCAGTCAACAACCACCTTTCAGAAACTGTTTCGGGCTTGACGAGCGTCCGAAGCTACGGCGTTCAACGGATGTTCGTGAACGACAACGACTACAAGGTGGATGTTACGCAAAACTGCACCGTCAACTGCATCCACTGCAACTACTGGATGCAGATCCGCCTGGAAGTCATCGGAGACGTGCTTCTGATTGCAATGCTTCTCCTCGTTGTTACCAACCGGGACAAAATTGACCCCGGTATGGCGGGTCTTCTCGTTGCCTACTCATTGAACACGATAGCTCCGTTCAATTACCTTATCTACTTTTCAACCGAAATGGAAGCTAGTCTCGTGTCAGCCGAACGTCTTGACGAGTACAGGCGCCTGACACCCGAAGCACCATGGTCCCTAGACTCCAGTCCGCACCCAAGCTGGCCGGGAGAAGGAGCTATGTCCTTCAACTCTTACTCGACTCGCTACAGGGACGGCTTAGAGCTTGTACTTAAGAATGTTGAACTCAGCATCAATCCCGGCGAAAAAATAGGAATCGTAGGCCGGACTGGCGCCGGGAAGTCGACCATGACGCTAAGTCTTTTCCGCATAGTGGAAGCAGCCGAAGGCAGCATTGTGATTGACGGCATGGACATCTCAACGTTGGGACTGCACGACCTGCGGTCCAGACTGACCATCATACCGCAGGATCCAGTCTTGTTTCACGGCACGCTTCGCTACAACCTTGATCCTACCGGGAGCCACGCGAGCGAAGATCTCTGGTCGGCCTTAGACAGGGCGCATCTCGGCGACGTCTTCAGAGATGAGGGCCTCGACTTCGAGGTCACCGAGGGAGGTCTCAACCTAAGCGTCGGACAGAGACAGCTTATCTGCCTCGCCAGGGCTGTACTAAGAAAGACCAAAATCCTTATCTTGGATGAAGCGACGGCATCAGTCGACATGGAGACAGACGCCATCGTGCAACAGACACTGAGAGACCACATGGCGGACTACACCGTTCTAACCATCGCTCATCGGCTTCACACCGTCTTGAATTCGGACAGAGTCGTTGTTATGGAGGACGGACGCATCAAAGAAGTGGGTGTGCCCGCGGAACTTATGGAGGACTCTGAGTCTTCCTTCTATTCGTTGGCCCTTGAGGCGGGCCTGGTGCACGACGGAAGGTACACGAGTGAGTCTGAAAACTGACTTCAATGGTGCTTCTAATACAACACTGCCGTGTCTGGACCGTTCCCTCAATACTGATGTCGAGGAGCGTTCATTATGTGACTATACTTCGTTTTATACTTAGTATACAACATTGTCAATGCTACTGGCGCGAGAGCGTGGCTTCATCTCTATGGTTTCGTTTGTTCGAGAACCCGTGCAAATGATCTGCGATATCAAACACCATGCTCGCGCCAGCAGCTTTGACAGCGTTGTACACTAAGTATGAAACAGGGTATAGAAGTAAGTGATGTGGAATATGCAAATCTGATGTCAAGGCACACTGTGATCAAAGGTAGATGAACTGTAAAGGCTGGCTCACACATTTGCAACGGTTGCGTTCGCATGCAACCGAAACGACAGTAACAACCAAAACACCGCGACAACTGTGACTCTTGGATTGCTTCGTGAAGCTACCCCTTGCATCGCTTGCCATGCTGTGTGCGGCGAACACTTGTCCCGGTGACTTTGTCGTTACGGTCGTCTCAGTTGCACGCAAACGCAACTAACGCAGATGTGTGAACCAGCCTTAAGGCTGCATTCACGCTGGCGTTTGAACCGCAACCGCGAAGCGGATTTGCTCGTTTTCATCATCAACTGCGCGTAAATTTGTATTGCATATTCAAGCAACCGCGTTCGCAACCGCCTTGCGGGTGCGGTTGAGTGGCCAGTGCGAATGCCGCGTAAAAGACACGCCAACGTGTTGGCGATTTCGTATCGGCTTTTAATAAGGATGTACTTCTCAGGGCACCCCAAAGAGACTGAACGCATTCTTCATTACTATGTTAAAGCATATTCCTCTGTCAGGTGGCGCAGATTAGAACTGTAAGCTATTTAGCGATTTTTTATATTGCGTGATAACGTCTTGCTATAGTGTTACGCAACTTTAGAAGATTCCGTTTTATTATTGCATCCCACTGCGCAGTGTACTTGCGTGCTCTGGAGAATTATTTTATTGCTTAATTTGTGTTATTAATGTGATATTGTTGAAGACCCTTTAGTACGAGGTCTTATATCCTCAGGAAGTGTCATGATTTCACTTTTCGGTGTATTGTCCCATGGCCCCACTTGTTGGACAAACAACCGTCATTGTTCAGTGACCGAAACTAATAGAGCACATTTTAGCAATGCAAGGAGATTACACCATATCAGTGTCACTCTTTTACATACCGTACTATAGTCCCTGACAAATTAAAAACGGTATGGCGTTTTTGTTGTTGTTGTTGTTTTGTACGATTGGTATTAGCACGGGCTTGTTGACTTTCGTCGTGCTTTGGCTGCACGTGCACGCTCGAGGATCACGAGGCACCGAAGCGTTATCGAAGGTAGAAAGTCCGCACTGGGGGCGAGAAAACTGAGATTCCTCCCTCCCGATCTAATCTGGTGACTGTAGTATCTGTTGCTGATGTTGTTTTCTCACTTGTTGACGACACTCCGACGGAAAGAAAGTTGCTGAAAAAGTATATTCGGCTTGTGTTCGGGCGGGTTTCGTCGGTTTCTCGTTAATGTCTCCGGACAATATTGCGGGCGGTCTAGGAATATCGAAAATTGTTTACGTAAGAAATGTGGACTTGATGTTAGAAGTTGGAACTGACGTGGAGTCGGCCAGTATCGCTTTTTCACCCATCAATAAAATTGTATCCATTATGCTCCTTACGGCATCCGACCCTTCCCTCCCTCCTCCCCCCCCCCCTCCCTCCGAACATTAATTTGGTTTCTAGTGTTTAGTAGGGAACAAGAGTGATCATTTATGCACATCACCGACCACAACGAGAACTCCAAATAGAACAGGCGTATGCACATGTGTTACACATAACTAATATACTCAAACTGTCCAAGATTACGAAGACTAAAGAGGTACGTCGAAGACAACACGAACGATTGCCTTTTATTTCCTTCTTTCGCTTTTTTTTTTTTGTATTTTAGTCAACAACATGCTCAGCCATCTAATCTAAATTGTGCAAGACTCTCTAGTCAGTCTTTAGTGTTTATTTTTTGCGAATACATTGAAGCCACAACATTTCGAAGAGTTTGTTTACCATGTACCGGATGAAACGATTATTTCGTCCGTCATATAAGTTTTTTTTTTTTTTTTTTGCTTTTTGTTTTGTTTTTTATATTTATTGCTAAGTCTTTGTACAATTGAAAATAAACGGCTGTTTGATGTTCTCTTGAACCTTCTTCAACCGAGCGAACGTGTTAAGAAGAAAGAACAGTATAATATAAAATTTTAAAAATTTCATTTTCGGAGTTTACGCTTACAGCCGAGGAAAGACATTGGCGACTTTAAATTGGGTTAAACTACTATAATACAAATGCCAGCCTGCAGACAATGTATGGAATGGGTTTCTTTCTTTTACGACGGTCATTTCACATTGGTAATACCAAAACCGTCTGCAGGCATGTTTGGAACGCACACACATGTATAAAGAAAACATGATTAGAACATGATTAAGGCATGTCCGCAGCGAACACCGTGTCTTTCGTGTGATGTGGGAGTAGTGTGAGCGCGTCTCAAGAATCTCAGTCGAGAAGACACCTCGAGCTTATGGCGGGCCTTCGTCTCGAAACCATCGAGACGGGCTCAGTAAGATGGGAAACGTTTATCGTATAGTCGTGTTTTATCTGAGCCGTCGGCTCGGCCAAGTTGGCGTTCCTGTGCGAAGCGCAAGTTCGTCTGCTTCTTTCCCAGGGGTAACCTCAGAACGCAGGGCTCTAATTAGCTCTTATCGAAGGATAGTGTGTAGACATCGAGACAGTTTGCTTCGAGGTCCGTCCACTACCCCTCGATCAGAGCCAATCAGAGCTCGGCATTTTTCTGACGTCACCCCAACCCCGGGAAAAGGAGCAGACGAACTTGCGCTCTGTATAGGACGAACGACAGGTGCCCACTCCACATCGCCACAGAAACAAGAAAGGCAGCAGCGCAGTGACGAGGCAGTGACTGAATCTATTGTGTACATCCGCAGCAACTGACAGAAAGGGAGCGAAGCTTCCTGCCTTTGACAACACCTGGGTCCGTCACGTAAGCGTGCACACGCATGGACAAAGCACGGCGGAAGGTAAAGAGCGCGTGCTGAAAACTGAGCATCGAAAAAAAAAAAAAAAGAAGCCCCGCCGTTCTTATTCTTTCGGTGACTACGGTAACAGCCAAATTTTGCTTCTGTTGTTGTCTTGTTGCTTTTCGAACTGACTCCGACGCGCGTTCCTTGAGTGATCAACCCGGAAACCAAGACTGTCGCACCGACAGCGATAGCGCACTCCAGCGTCCCAATAATTCGAGCAGAGTCATCAGCAGAGCTCCATATTCCACTGCCAGGGGAATAGAAAGGAGTTCACCATCGAAGACCTCGCTGTGCACGCCCATGCACGCCACTACCTTTGCTACACCCTCTTGCGCAGCATCAGTCTATAAACACCCCTCTCCCCTTTCACCGGCCCAGTCCCCAGTCCCCGTGTCGCCTGCTCAAACACAAACATCGCCCGACCGTTGATTAGCCATCGATCTCAACCAGAAAAAAAAAGGACCGGCGCTAATGATTACCCGTAGCGCCCTCTAACGATTCCGTAGTCGCGAGCAGAGGCGCGCGCGACCCAACGTTGCCAAGCCGAAACCAGGCAGTCGGTGTAAGAGAAAGACTACCTTTCGATCAGGGCTCTATTCAAACACACACGAGTGTACCGGGGATACGTGCACATACACACACACACGCGCACACAAAACGCGCGTACATCTATAAGCGTGCATGCAGACGGATCGAACACGTTCGGGGCGCTGCTCTGTGGGGCAATGTGTAGGGACAGGAAACGTGGCGACATCATTAGCAGGTTTTTTGTCTCCGGTCTAATAACTTGCTCAGTTCCGGTCCTCTGAGGTACGTTTCAATTCCCGCGGCTGTAATTTGAACATCGGGAAGCGTGGGGCCAATCACAACCCGCACGGCTCGCGATCCAATCAGCGGGATCGCGTTGCGTCGAGTTGGCGACGCTTCCGCAGTCAAGCGATCGTCGAAAACGGGCGAACGATTGCGCGCTGCATTCACATTCCGATTTCCCACGTGAGCGCGGCAAATTGGAATCTGTCTATTTCCTTTTTTCTTTTTCTTTTTTGTATATGTACGTGCGTTTCACCGATCCCCGGTGCCTTGGAGGTGTCGACATTCAATAAACCGAAGCTCTTGCTTCATACAAGAATGAAATGTTAGACGTGGGTCATCCAAATGGTGTACAGGGTACGGCCGTAAGGACAAACACATTTGGCACGCCTTGTAGTTTTTTTTTTCAAACGTACATACCGAAAATTGGACACGCAAACGTAGTTTCACCAGTTTTCCTTTTTTTTTTTTTTGTTTCGTTCTTTGCTTTTGCGGGGTGGGGGGAATTCAATCCTGAGGTAGTGAAGTTTTAAAACAAACATAAAGTGGAGACCGTGTATTTCCTATGTCTAATACCAACCCTTTTGTCGCCTGCACATTGGTTTATGAGCTCACTTTCAGGTAATTTACTGAACGCAAAAGACGCTCAAAACCAATGCGGAGCGCAGGGGGATCGGTGGCCGAGTAGGCTAGCGCACACGGCACACCAGCGCGGAGAACGTAGAGCGAGAGCTCGCGCTGCAGAACCCACGGATCCCAGGTTCAATCAACACCAGCTAGAAGACAAGGCCTGCGCATGACGTTTCTTTAGTAGATCCCTAACCCGCCCCAAGCGGCAAACAGCCCGAAGCTTACGGACACTAGGGCCACGTCACAACACGTCGCATTCACTGGCGGCCACAGCTGTGTGCGCGCCTGCTGAGCGCGAGCTGATAGCGAGCTTCCAGTTCATTTCCAACGTGCATGCGAACAGTCTCTCGGCAGGAACGCGAGCTAGCATGCGCTCCTGGCTTTCAGACGTGCATTTGTGCCAACGTTACTAGAACCACTCAGTTGGGAAACTGCCATAGAGCCTGCTTTAAAAAAGTGGCTCCTATCCGTACTCGAGAACCGAGCTAATGGCGATCGCAACGCCGCCATCTCTCCCGCAGCGTCCACTCCGGGAACTGCACGGCTA